CCGTGTCCCCTGCATCGGCAGGCGGACTCTCAACCACTGCGCCACCTGGGAAGCCAGGGGACTCTTGATAGAGATATTTTCAGCAACAAAAACCAAGAGCCAGGAGAGAAGATAAGAAAACTATTCAAAATAAAGTAAAAACTCAAAACATAGTGGACCTGTGAGTATAGGTCAAACACTCTTACACTTCTCAAGAGCCTCTGAATATATCATTATGTTAAAAGCATAACACAATCTTTTATGTCAGTTGTAATGACATATTTCTTTAATAAAACATCAATTTCTGTTCAATAAAGCTTAGACAATTATGACACCTTTTTGCAAGATTTCCATAAAATAATAACAAATGAAAAACAGTTTGGGTATTGAAGACATATCATCATATGCTGTCTGAGAAACAAAAGATTACATGATATTTATGTATTCCTCTGTGCTTTTCCCTGAGAAAAAAATCATATGGACTTGGGAAAAATCTGTCTTTAAAGCCATGTATTTTATGACCTCAGTGTCTTTCTGGTTCTTCAAATTCACTGGCAAGTGGTAATCTCCAGCTAATGCTTCCTCTAGGTCATTAGTTAACTAGAACAGTTCCCGGAAGAGACCCTTTTGAAAAGTCTACGAGAGGGACTTCCCCGGTGGCGCAGCAGTTAAGAGTCCACCTGCCAATTCAGGGGACACAGATTCAATCCCTGGTTCGGGAAGATCCCACATGCCGCGGAGCAACTAAGCCTGCGCTCTAGAGCCCGTGAGCCACAACTACTGAGCCCACGTGCCACAACTACTGAAGCCGGCACGCCTAGAGCCCGTGCTCCTCAACAAGAGAAGCCACCTCACTGAGAAGCACGCACACCTCAATGAGAAACATGTGCACCACAATGAAGAGTGACCCCCACTCACTGCAACTAGAGAAAGCCTGCATGCAGCAATGAAGACCCAACACAGCCAAGAGTGAATAAGTAAAATAAATAAATTTGTAGAAAGAAAAAAGTCTGTGAGAGATTGGATTTCTTGATAGTGCAGCATTTCTTTGTAAATATTCATAAAGCAAAGATGCCATTCTTTTTTTGAAAAATAATCGACAATTCAGCCGTTTTAGATGCCCAGTTCAATGATTTTTAGTACATTCACAGAATTGTGCATCCATCACCACAATCAAATTTAGAATATTTTCATTTTCTCAAAAAGAAACCCAAAATAAATAAAATGGAAAAAAAAAAAAAGAAACCCACACCCCTAAATCATGAATCCCATTTCTTCCCAACCTCCCCAGACCTAGTCTAAAACTAATTTACTTTCTGTCTCTATAGATTTATTTTTCCTGGACATTTCATATAAATGGAATCATACAATATGTGGTCCTTTGTGATAAGCTTCTTTAACTTGTTTTTCAAGGTTCATCCATGTTGTAGCATGTGTCAGCACTTCATTCTTTTTTATTGCCAAATAATATCCCATTGTGTAGATACACCACATTTAATTTATTAAATTATCAGTTGATGGGCATTTAGGTTGTTTCTATTTTTGGCTATTATAAACAACAGTGCCATTCTGCTGCTGTATTTATGTTATTTTTATTATACTAGCTTATGGATGTGATTAGCTTTGCAAATATTTGTCACCAAGGAGCTTGGTTCACGGTGAGTTTACCACTTCCTATAGTGTAAATCAAGATGGAGGTAAACATGGGTGCTTTTGGTATATGGGTAGTGTTATGTATGTGTAACCTGCAGGGGAAGCCTCAATTATAATACACAGAGAGAATTTTTCTCTAGTGATTCCTAAGTGGGATCATGGTCCACTTCAACCATTTAATTTCTGAATAGAAGAGAGTAGAGGTAATAACTTAGACCCTTACCAGTTGGGTATGATTTTTCCGAAGTCCCTTCCTGGGGAATTTAACATTCTAAGAAGGGATGAATTCAGGACAAATAATTACAAAGCACAAAACAAAAGTACCTTGAAGAAATCTTGAGAAATCTCTTCCTAAGTGAAAGGAGGATAGGAAGAAACTTTTGGATTTAATCTTACAGGATGTTGCAATTCAAAGACCATTAAATTGTGCATAATGTACAATCCTCTTTTGCCAGACAGAGAAGTTTCCTGGTTGTACTCTTGAGATATTATGAAGCATTTCTAAGGCTGCTATTAAACTAGAGAATTGTGAATTGGTAGGTTTTCAAATAAGTTACTCCAGACCTCAGTCTGGTCTAAAGCTTCCTGTTTTTACAATTAACTCCTCATGTTTCTTTGTTGAGTATGTGTGTGTGTGTGTGTGTGTGTGTGTGTGTGTGCGCGCACGCGAGCACGCGCGTGCACATGTAAAACCTAAAGATAGACCAGGAAGCATCTGGGGCCATCTGGCTCTAAAGGGGAATCCAGATTTCTGTGAGGTCTAGCTACTAAATGTAAAGAGGATAAACAATGTATCTTATACAACTCCTGTGCTAACCCCTCAGTCATTACTGTCCAAAATGCCCTTAACTCACAGTTGATGTTAAACTTTATGGGTTTTTCATTTATGAATGATGCAGGTTGGTCTGTCTTAAGATAAATCACATTATAGGCAATGAACACTTCCATGTTGTTTAGTGAAGCTTCTGAGGGATTACAAAGAAAAGTGGACATGTCAGGCATTGGGCTGTTCCTGAAAGCAATGCTTCCTTCTTGATGCCTGTTCACTCTTTGTCCGTGTTTCCAAATAAAGGATTGTGATTAAGAAAGAGTCATCAAGAGCAGAAGGAAAAAATTGCTAGCAACCAGGATGACCCAAGGCTTGTGTACTGGCCAGGGCAATACAAAATTCTACTCTGTATACCACCTAGCAAAGTGCCACATGAATGCATCCTAATTTTAATTAAGATGATGTCTCTGTTCTCCAAAGCAAGAGTCCTTCTCCTGCAACTGAAGTAAGAGGTTACATTTCAAGGTTTTTCCTCAAGATTCTTAATTTGAGGGGAATAATGATGAAAACAACACCGATAACATTTATAAAGCACTTACTATAGGTTGCCATTTAATTTAACTCTATTAATTTAACTCTGCTTTACACATGAAGAAAGTGAAGTGCAGAGAGGTTGACAGACTTGCCTAGGCTCACACAGCTGGTAAGTATCAGAGCCTGGATTTGAATCCCGCAGAAGACTCTAGAACCCAGGCTCTCAACAACCTAATTAAGAAATTGTGCTGTTCTTAATTCAGTGCTATGATAAAAACATTTTTTCGTTATTTTTGGCTGCGTTGGATCTTTGTTGCTGCATGAGGACTCTCTCTAAATGTGGCGAGCGGGGGTTACTCTTCACTGCAGTGCATGGGCTTCTCATTGCTGTGGCTTCTCTTGTTGCGGAGCATGGGCTCTAGGCGTGTGGGCTTCAGTAGTTGTGACATGCAGGCTCAGAAGTTGTGGCTCGCAGGCTCTAGAGCGCAGGCTCAGTAGTTATGGCACACGGGCTTAGTTGCTCTGCGGCATGTGGGATCTTCCCGGACCAGAGCTCGAACCTGTGTCCCCCGCACTGGCGGGCGGATTCTTAACCACTGTGCCACCGAGTAAGTCCGACAAAAACAGTTCTACTGCTAATTTAAAATATAAGTAGTCAAAGTAGATGTAAATGTAAGCAGCACACATTGTAAAACTATAATACTACATTTTCTCAAAATTTGTTTTGCCATGTCATTCTGTCCCAGGGAAAAGGTTTTTATTTTCCTTCAAAATGAGGAGTAACATTTGATTTTGCTGGGGAACTGTTAAAATTACTTTGATGGTTCTAGTCGTGCACAGCATTGAGATTTATGACAAATATGTAATCTGTTTATTTGTCACCCAACTTGGATGACTTCCAAATGTTTCCTCTTAGTAGCTCTTGATTTTGTTTGGATTTTTTTAAATCACCAAATAGTCAAACAACAATGTCTGAATCACGTTTGCTCCAGTTAGGAAACACCAACAAGTTGAAAGACAGCTTTGGTTATTTAAAATCCTACTACATTCACTTGCAACTTTGAAGAACATGCATGCTTTCATGGACTGGATTTTTTAAAGGAGAAGACAAAAAGGAAAACAAACAAACAAACGAGTTTGCGGCCCAAGTCCCTCCTTTGCTATTTACTGCAGTGAGTTTTCCTACTCCGTTTTGCTGGCGAAAGCACGCTCAACAGATCAAATCAAACTGTCCGAAAAAGGCTGTCTGCATCCCTCATGTTTAATAGAGAGGGATTTCGTTCCCTTTCCTTCACACATCAAAGAAAGCACTCGGGGAGGAAGTAAACCATAATTAGGCATGAGCAAAGGAGCAACAGACCCCTTCCTCTCTTTTCCCTATCCCCGCCCCCCAGGCCCTGGCAATAGTCCGGGGCGCGAGCGAGTCGCGGGCCACCGAAGCAGCCGCAGGGAGCGCGCGTCCACGCCTCGCCCACCGCCAAGATCTGGGCGGCGGCGGGGCCGGCCCGGGGGCGCGCGCGCTGGGGAGCGCGCTCATGCAGCGGTTTTCTTCTCCCACAATCCAGAGGCTGCGGCGCGGGAGGGGCGGGGAGTCGGCGGAAGGATATGGGCGCGGAGGGAGCAGCGCGCCCCTTTGACGGCGGGCTGGAGGCGCTGGTTGGGCGGCGGGGAGCGGGGTGTGATGCGGCAATGCGGTTCTGAGGCCGTTACTCTGGCTCCTCCAGAGAGGGCGGAGAAGGAGGCTGTAACGCGGCGGTGATTTTGTGCCAGGGCTTCCCTGAGGCGCACTGAAAAGGCTGGCGGGGCTCGGGAAACTGGGGGCTTAGGGACACACATTCAAGCCCCCACCCCCTGGGAGGGGAAGGGGGCAGGCGGCGAGGCTTGGGGTAGACGGAGGGATGGTGTGCGGTCGGTGGGAAGGGGCGAGCCCTGCCTGTCGTTGGTGAGGGGCTGCGGGCAGGGGAGGCTCCGCGGGTCAAAGCGGCTCCATGCCCACTTTGGTGGGTGGGACGTGTGGAGCGGAACGCGGAGGTAAAGCCTGACGGCCGCTTGCAACCCTTAACGTGGTATCTAACGTGGGATTTCATTTAGCCCACGGGGGGATTAATTCATTGGGGGCAGCCTCGCTGGTCTGGCTCCTCCAGGAGCTGGGCAACCTTGACGGGCTTTTTGTCTTGCTGCTCCAACCCCTTCTCCCTTCCTCCTCCTCCTCCAGATGCCTTTTCTCTGCCCCTCCTCGCCCGGTACAGACATTTCCAGGGCAGGCTGCTGCTCGTGGCTGCTGTCGAAGCCACTTCTCGGGATTTCGGCTCGTTTCCCTCTGGGGTGTTTTTTGAGGAGGGAGAGTTTTTCTCCCCTCCACGATGGGATTTTCTTCCCGTGCCAAAATGGACTTTCATTGATTTCTACTTACTTCTTCAACGTTTAGTGACCAATTCCCTAGGGTTATTTTTGTGGTAGTTCCTTTTTTCAAGTACATTCTCTGTAAAATGGAGAACGAGATTTTTACTCCCCTTCTGGAGCAGTTCATGACCAGCCCCTTGGTCACTTGGGTAAGTGGGGTGTTATTTATTGTATATTTTGCTGCATTATTTATGGCTGCAGAGATGGAGGTGGGCGTTCGTGTCGTGATGATCATCATTCTGTTCTAGGTTAAAACGTTTGGACCTCTGGCTGCAGGAAATGGGACCAACCTGGATGAATATGTGGCTTTGGTGGATGGGGTGTTCTTGAACCAAGTCATGCTCCAAATGTAAGTGTTCTTTTTTTTTTTTCTTTCTAGGCAACTTTTTTTTTTTTAACTTGCATACTGTGAACTTAGAGGCTTTATGTTTTAAGATCCTAATTGAGTTTTTTGGCGAGAAAAATTTAGGTGGTTTAAGAATTGGACCTTGAAAGAAGTGATAATCTTATATTTATCAGCCCATTTATCACAAGCCAGTAATTATACATGTTAAAATTGTGAAACTTTAATTTTTCATTCTGCAAATCATGTATTGTCACTTATTGTCTTCAGTGCTGAAATCCAAACCACATTGTATCCTCTTTGATAATTTTGTAAAATGAAGAGGGGAATTACAGTAGTTTCCTAAGGGGGGAAAAAGGCTTTACTGTGAAGTTATGTGCATTTGGTGCAGAAATGTTTCTTATTAACCTTTGTGTCTAAAAATAAATGGCTCAAAATTTGAAACTGGTGAAGTAATAACAGATTTCAGAGGAAAGAATTTCAAACAACAGTTCTGATTGGTGAGGACTGTTGCTATAGGAAGTACTTTAAATGCATATAATAACTAAAGTCTGATTAGGTGATTTATTGTGTGAATTAGTAGATTAATATTTGGGGAATCATTTTAAGGTATTCTTAGAGCTAGTTTTGAAATGCAGGTGGTTGAAATCTTGGTGACAAGTGGCTAATGATTTAGTAGGCAAATCTTTGTCATTTATGTTCATGATATTGGGTTTAAATTAAGTAGGAAAGTGATTTTGAGGTGGCAATTGAATATCGAAATCATTGGTAGCTGGATCAGTGAAATCAAAGCTCCATTTTTATCATAGTTATTGTAGTATATGTGCATTCTCAGCACATCAGTGTAGTGAATATTACAGTTGTGCTTAAAATAATGCGTGTTTAGCCTTATTTGTCTTGAATACAAACTGATTTACAAGAGTAGTTTGGAACTTTCAATTTCAAGACATTCTTATGTTTTATATGTTTGGGAATTTAGTACATTATTGATAAATAATTGTTACCAGAGAATAAATCTACTGTTAATAGACTAATAACCTAACATGTAAATGATCAATTCTGTATTTTTTTTGGTGTTAGTTTTCTTTTTAGATTTTTCTACTTAAAAGAAGATATAAGTCAAATCCATAAATAACTGTTCCACTGGTAAACTTACCAGTCTGTGTACTCAAAGAGACTCGTAGTTTATATGCTCAAAGAGATTTTTGTGCTATTTTTCATGTATGTGTTGATCCTACAGGGAAGTATTATACTACTACATGTTTTCCAAAAGTGTTTTGTGTAGGCACCCAAAGAAATATATGTTATCTGAATGTGTATGTATATTTTTTTTCTTAAAGAAGGAAAAGGGAATGTAGACATTAATTATTTCCAGGGATAATAAATATATTTTGGGCTGCTCTCCCATGGAACTATCTTTAATCTTTGAAATATCCCACTATTTCCCAAGCAAAATGGTAGAATAATTAAACTGACTTCTATTTTAGGGAACACAAATGACAGGAAGGGTAGCCATTACAGTAGATACTCAGAACTTGTTCCCCTATGTCTCTTTTCTTGTTTGTTTTTAGACAGAAGATTGTGGATTTGTATGCTGAACCCTAAAAAAACAGGTGTGCTCACAAAAATGGGAAAATACATTACTTTAGTTTTCCCCTTTAATGGTTTTCATTTGAATGATTCTTTTTCCAAAAAACACTTAGATTTTTTGAATCCTAAATTGTTAGCCAAGGTGCTAAAAACAGACACTTCAGCTTGTTTCCACTTTGGGTACAGCTTTATACTTAAAATATATATGTGTCTATATTTTGAAAGTAATGGTGTTCCAAAATAGTGGTTGCCAGGTTGTTTTTTTGGGAGGAGTAGCTCCATTCCAAACCTCAAATCTGCTTCTGTTTTCAATTCCACCTCTCAGTTTCTTTAAAAGTTGTTTCAGTGTCCTAATTCTGTTCTGAATGACCTATATAAATTAAAGGAAAAGAAAATTTAAAAAAGGAAGACGTATGTTTTAGCTTTTTAAAAACTATCTTTCTAAAATAAGATCAACACAGATTACCTAATTATTTACCAAATAGGGCAACAAAATACATTGTTTTAAAAGCTATATTTTACTAATTTTGAAATCATTAAGATTTCTATTAAGCACTTTGCTCAAATTAATGTTTGATTTAATATACTCTATTAAATTGTCAGTTGAAATTGTACCCAGTAAGTTAACCTGAAAGTTAGCTTCAGTCTGAGCAATTTCTAGATTACATTTGGTTATAGAATTTGTGAGCGAGAGAACCATTTGTAAATGCAGCATGTGTATTTTTCTTCATGTTTCTTGTGCTTGGAGTTCATTGAGCTTCTTGGATCTGTGGTTTTGTAGTTTTTATCAAATTTGGAAAAATTTTGGCCATTATTTCTTTAAATATATATCCTTTCTTTGCCTCCTTTCCTCCTTTTGGAAGTCCAATTATATGTATCAGGCTGCTCGATGTTCACTGATACCATTCAATTTTTTTTCAGTCTTTTTTTCTCTGTTTCACTTTGGATAATCTTGCTAAATTCATTAATCTTTTTTTCTGTAATGTTTAATCTGCTGTTAATCCCATCCAGTGTATTTTTCATTTCAGGTACTGTAGTTTTATCTCTAAAAATTCATTCTTTTTTATATCTTCCCTGTGTATAGATTTCATGCTTTGTCTTTTCTGTAGCTTCTTGAACATGTAGAATACAATAATAACTGGCTTAAAGTTCATGTTTACTAATACTGTCTGTGCCATTTCTTGATTGGTTTTGATTGATTTTTTTCCTCATTATGGATTGTATTTTCTTGCTTTTTCATACCTGGTAATTTTTGATTAGATGCCAGACATTTGAAAATTTACTTTGTTGTTGGGTGCAGGATATTTTTGTTTCCCATTAAAAATATTCTTGAGCTTTGTTCTGGAATGCAGTTAAGTTACTTGGAAACAGTGATCTTTTCAGATCTTGCTTTTAAGTTGTGTTAGGCAGTACCACTTTGCTTTGTTGCACTGTTGAGGCAGAACCCTTCTGAGTACTCTGGCTGGTGGGAACAGGAACTATTCCTGGACCTGTGTGAGCTCTGGGTGGTGTCCCTGTAATCCTTTTTGGTGGTTCTTTCACTGTCCATGTGTAGTTTCCTCACACGTATATCCTTATAAGTACTCAGCTGAAGACTTGAGGGATAACCTGTATAGATCTCTGGATCTTTCTGAGCAGCTCTCTCTTAGGTACTCTGCTTTGTATATTGACAGTCACCTTGCTGTCTCCATACTACGTTCTGTCTCCTCAACTCAGGGAGACCACTGTGTGTGCTCTGCATAGGTTCCCCATTCCTGTTCTGTGGCCTAGAAACTCTTTCAAGGCAATAAACTGGGGCAATTGTAGGACTTATCTTGTATGTTTACCCCTTATCAGGGATCTACTGTCCTTTGTTGCCTGATGACCACTGTTTTGAAAAATGCTTCATATGTTTTGTCTTTTTTTTTTCCCAGTTGTTTCAGGCAGGAGGGTAAATTTGGTTCCTTTTATTTCATGTTGGCTAGAAGTGGAAATCTGTTTATATACTTTTAATTACATTTTTGCCCTGCCAGTCTTGTGTTCCTGCTTTCAGATATAGATATAGATTTAGAATTTTGTTTAGGATCCTTATGGTAGAATTTTTTTTTCGTCTAAAGAGTTTTTTAAGAGTAAGAATATTGGTTAGTTCAGTGACTCTGGATTTGGTATTTTTGACCTAGAATTTGAAAGTAAAGAGCTGACTTCTTCGTGCCAGTTTATGACTCTGCCTTATAATTTCAGAGTCTGTTCACTGATTTGGGATTCAGTGTATTCAGAGATGAATCCTGGATTTCATTGAGTAGCTCCTGAATCAAAGAATCTCTGTAAGAGCTTGTGACATGGCATCAGTTCTCTTTAACTAATGGGAAGAGGAAGCTATTTAGAGATGGGCCAGCTCTTCTGCATGCTGCAGGGCATTTTCCTACTTCAACCAAACGAAATCTTTTTTCCACAGTGCTAGTTATCAGACATAGGGCTTGGTGACAGTGAAGTGGAAATAATCATTTTCCTGTTTGAGATGTCATGCAGTTTTGCAACCAATGTAGAATATTACTTGCTGTGAATTTTTAAGGAATTTGTGACATTGTAGTTGATTTCATAATCCTAGTCATATTACCTAAGCAGTTGAAAATATGGATATGTTATAGTTTTAAGTACGGAAAAATTGTTAATAGTATCAGAACAATATTTGGAATTACTTTCTATGATTCAACCCCATTAGATAGCTACAGAAATCTCTACTTGAATAATGTAGTAATTGTGATATACTTGTTATGGCATTTCTTCTTTTAGAATCTTGAATTTGAAGGTACTTTAGAAATCATCTATGAAAATCATTCTTATATGACTCATGGTCATCCAACTTCTGCTTAAGTGTTTCCTGAGAAACAGCTTCATAAAGTGTACCCAAAGGAGCCATTTAATAGAGGAAGTTGACTGAGAAATCTTCCTTCATTCTATCAATACTTAAGATTCAAAAATAGATTGTGCCAACTTTATGACTATAATAACCCCAAAGTGACTTATAAAATATATAAGTTGTCTTACCAGGTATGGCATTAACTCTGAATTTTGGTATGGTCTCTCTAATACAATTTTTTTTTTTTGCGGTACTCGGGCCTCTCACCGTCGTGGCCTCTTCTGTTGCGGAGCACAGGCTCCGGACGCGCAGGCTCAGCGGCCATGACTCACGGGCCTAGCCGCTCCGCGGCATGTGGGATCTTGCAGGACCGGGGCACGAACCCATGTTCCCCGCATCGGCAGGCAGACTCTCAACCACTGCGCCACCAGGGAAGCCCTCTCATACAATTTTTGTTTAGTTTTGTTTCGCTTTTTTTTTTTTTTTTTTTGCCACGCCACGCGGCATGTGGGATCTTAGATCCCCAGCCAGGGATCGAATCTGCGCCCTCTGCATTGCAAGCCCAGAGTCTTAATCA